AAGCTCCTGGCTCCTGGCTTCGGATGGGTGCAGCTCCGGCCATTGCGGACATTTGGGGAGTGAACCAACAGAAGGAAGACCTTTCTCTCTGTCTCTCCCTCTCACTGTCTGTAATTCTAACTCTCAAATAAAATCTCAAAAAAAAAAAAAAACAGATTTATTTATTTGAAAGGCAGAGTTAGAGAGGCAGAGAAAGAAACAGAAGCAGAAAGAGATCTTCCATCTGTTGGTTCACTCTCCAGGTGGCCGAAATGGCCGGAGCTGCGCCAATCCAAAGCCAGGAGCCAGGAGCTTCTACCGGGTCTCCCACACAGGTGCAGGAGCCCAAGGACTTGGGCCATCTTCCACTGCTTTCTCAGGCCTCAGCAGAGAGCTGGATGGGAAGTGGAGCAGCCCAGACTCAAACTCGTGCCCATATGGGATGCTGGCACTGCAGGCGGTGGCTTTACTTGCTAAGCTATAGCGCCAGCTCCAACACTAAAGAATTTTGAGGGGCTGACATTGTGGCACAACAAGTTAAGCTGCCATCTGTGATGCTGGCATCCCATATGAGCGTTATTTCCAGTCCTGGGTACTCCACTTCCAAGCTGGTTCCCTAACGCACCTGGAAAAGCAGCAAAGCATGGGCTACCCACATGGGAGATTCAGATGAAGCTCCTGGCTTTGGCCAGGCCCAATCCAGGCCACTGTGAGGAGTGAACTAGAGGATGGAAGAGATCTCTCTCTCTCTCTCTGTATGTGTGTGTGTGTGTGTGTGTCTGTGTAAATTTGCCTTTCAAGTAAATAAAATATATCTTTAAAAAAAAATAATTTGACCCGGTGCTGTGGCACAGTAGGTTAATCCTCTGCCTGCAGTGCCAGCATCCCATATGGGCACCAGTTCTAGTCTCAGCTGCTCCTCTTCCAACCCTGCTCTCTGCTATGGCCTGGGAAAGCATTAGAAGATGGCCCAAGTCCTTGGGTTCCTGCACCCACAGGGAAGACCCAGAGGAAACTCCTGGCTCCTGGCTTCAGATGGACCCAGCTCCAGCCATTGCAGCCATCTGGGGAATGGACCAGCGGATGGAAGACCTTTCTCTGTCTCTCCCTCTCACTGTCTGTAACTCAACATTTCAAATAAAATTTAAAAAAAAAAATCTTTTCAAAAAAAGAATTTGAGGGATCAGCGCTGTGGTGCAGCAGATTAAAGCTCCTAGCTTAGCCGGCGCCGCGGCTCACTAGGCTAATCCTCCGCCTAGCGGCGCCGGCACACCAGGTTCTAGTCCCGGTCGGGGCGCCGGATTCTGTCCCGGTTGCCCCTCTTCCAGGCCAGCTCTCTGCTGTGGCCAGGGAGTGCAGTGGAGGATGGCCCAGGTGCTTGGGCCCTGCACCCCATGGGAGACCAGGAAAAGCACCTGGCTCCTGGCTCCTGCCATCGGATCAGCGCGGTGCGCCGGCCGCAGCGCGCCGGCCGCGGCGGCCATTGGAGGGTGAACCAACGGCAAAGGAAGACCTTTCTCTCTGTCTCTCTCTCTCACTGTCCACTCTGCCTGTCAAAAAAATAAAAATAAAAAAAAATAAAAAAAAAAAAAAGCTCCTAGCCTGCATTTAAAAATTAAAACAAGGGGCCAGTGCTTTGTCACAGCCAGTTAAGCAGACATCTGCAATGCCAGCATCCCATGTGGGTGCTGGTTCGAGTCCCGGCTGCTCCACTTCCAATCCAGCTCTCTGTTCATGCACCTGGGAAGGCAACAGAAGATGGCCCAAGTCCTTAGGCCCTGGCACCCATGTGAGAGACCCAGAAGAAGCTCCTGGCTTTGGCCTAGCCCAGCCCTAGTCACTGCGGCCTTTTGAGGAGTAAACCAGCAGATGGAAGATCTCTCTCTCTCTCTCTCTGTCCCTACCTCTCTTACTCTATCTTTCAAATAAATAAAATAAATCTTAAAAAAAAAAGAATTTAAAATTCATGCAGTTTTTCCATAATACACATTCCCATGAACTTTGTGAAGACCCTTTGAACATGTGTGCATGACTAAATTTTATTACAATGAAGGAACATCACCAAGGGGAAAAGATACAGGTGGAATAAGGAACAAGCCGTGCACATGTGTCCTTAGGCTCTCTCCCTCCCACGAGGTATTCACCAAGTGTTCTCCCTTCTACAGCAGCAAAAACTGCCATAATACAGAAGAATTGTTCGTGCCCAGAGAAGTCCATTAGAGACTCTGCACTCAAGGGTTTTTTTTTTTTTTTCCCTCTTCCCAAGAGGCAGAGAGAGAGAGAGAGAGAGAGAGAGAGAGAGACTCATCTCTACAAGTTCATTCCCCTAATGTCTGCAATGGCTGAGACTGTGCCAAGCCAAAGCCCACAATTCAGTCCAGGTCCCCCATATAGATAGCAAAGACCCAACTACTGGAAATACCATCTGCTGCCGCCCACATCTGTACTGCCAGGAAGCAGGGAGCTGAGCCAAGCACTCAATCCGAGTGTTTGGATATGGGAAGTGGGTATCTTAACTGGTGTCTTAAGTGCCAGGCCAAACACCTACCCCAGCAACCAAGGGTTTCACTGGGGGCTTGTCTCACAGGAGCTGTCTGCCTAGCAACTCTCTAAATTTCAGATTCCCAGAAAGAAAGCAGGTGTTCAACATAAATAACAAAATTTATACAGAGGCTAGGTACAGTAAACCACCCTCATCAGTTAGAGAATGAAGGGAAGAGTTCAAGTGCCAAGTGCCAAGATACCAGCCAAGGGCCGATCTTGTAAGTAGCCCCTTTTAAAGATGGCAGCCTCAGACCCCTTCTGTTAACTCTTTGGCATTGGAAGTGATTGGCAAATGTTGCCAGTAAGACCAAAGTATCTCCCCAGCTAAGATGGTTAGGGAACTGCCAACCTGAAGGCCACACTAATGACAGAAAAATACTGCCCTCTTGAAAGTGCAGCAGCTCTGACAAGATGCAAAGCTCACAATGCTGCAGCTACGGGATGCTCCGACTAGTGCACAGGCAGACGCGGGCACAGTGAGCTCCAGGTGCCCTTCCAGACTGACCAGGCTGAAAGGGGTACCACCGCCAGAGAGCTGCGGGACCCTCTTCTTACAGAACATCCAATTGCCTGCACTCTGTTTTCTCTTCTCCCTGAATCCAACAATCCAATTTCTGACACGCTTGCTGGTCCTCCTCCTAAGACCATGTGCTGCCTGGCTAGCAGGAGCTTGATTTAATAAACCAGCACTGTGATCCAGCCGTCAGGCTCATCAAACAATAACAGTGATCATTCATGAGGGACCCACGGGCCTAACTTTATTCATATCATTCTGCTGATTTTCACAACACTCCTATCAAGTACTGTCCTGTTTGTTACACAAAGGCAGAGGACCAGAGTAGGGAACTGACCTGCCTAGACCCACACTAATGAAAGCAAGTTATGGGGTGGGGGTTAAACCTGGATGGTGCTACCCTCCCAATCTCCCAATCTTTCCATTCTATTCTATTGTACTCCCTCTTGAACTAGAAGTTAGGTTGGTGGGGGCCAGCGCTGTGGCGAAGCGGGTAAAGCCACCGTCTGCAATGCCGGCATCCCATATGGGCGCCAGTTTGTGTCACGAATGCCCCTCTTCCGATCCAGCTCTCTGCTATAGCCTGGGAAAGCAGCAGAAATTGCCCAAGTCCTTGGGCCCCTGCACCCACGCGGGAGATCTGGAAAAGACTCCTGGCTCCTGGCTTCAGACTGCCCCAGCGCTGGCTGTTGCAGCCATTTGGGGAGTGGACCAGTGGATGGAAGACCTCTCTCTCCCTCTCTCTCCCTCTCCTTCTCTCTGTGTAACTCTGACTTTCAAAAAAATAAATAAATGTTTAAAAAAAAAAAAAAGAAGAAGAAGTTAGGTTGGCATCAGTCTCCTCCCAGGACCTTCTCACCCTGCAGGCAAACGACCAAATCGAGCTGGAGAAGCTACCAAAGCTAAGGAGCAGGTCATTCTGCCAAAGTGCCCAAAACAGCCTCTCAGCTCCCAAACCACTTCCAGCTGCAGCCACTGCCGCCGTCCTAAACCACTCAGAAAACGTCCTCTTCCCGCCTCCCAGAAAGTTGAGAGGGCCCCGTCCTTTCCAGGGACAACACTGCTGACCCTCACAGGCCCAGGGGCGGGGGTGAAGAAAGCTGACACTGACTTACTGATCATTTACTTACTCTGGGAATGGCCAGAGCCAGTCTCAGCCCCAAGAACCACCTCGTTTTCTCAAGACGAGGGGACAGAGGCTCCGAGGGCTCCCGAAAGGACGACACACGGTCAAGGGACAGTGGCAGGGACCCTATTTAGATGTCAGGTTCTCAAATCCGGATTCATCCCATCTTCCCGGGCACACCTCTAAACTGCCTCTCTCCTTGCTCCCAAAATAAGGCCATCCTCCGTTCAGTTCCTTGTCCACGGACACAGTGGTCCCTCCGCCTCTCCGGCCACTGTCCCCATCTCCAAACACCTTTTTTTTTTTCTTTTTTTCCAGACTAACGCCCCCGGCCTTTGCAATAACAATGCGCAGCCGCTTTGCGGTTCAGACAGCAGCTTCAGCCACAGCGTTCCACCTGCCCACCACCGCCCGCAAGCCGGTCAAGGCGGGCAAAGCAGCTTTTAAGGGAACCCCCGGTTTTACGACAAAAGCCTCTCCCCCAAGGTCACCGAATGAAAAAAGCAAGGGCTCATCAGAACCAGACCTCAAGTTTGGATCCACGGTCCTCGGCATCCTAGTGCGTCTCGCTGACACCCACGTCCCAGCCGCCCCCTCCGCGATGTCCCAAGACGCCCGGCCGGCGCGTAGCTCACGTCCCTCCCACGCCCACCCACCCGCCGCGTCCCCGCCCGCCCTGCCCACCCCTCTGGCCCGTTCCTTTCCTTCGGCAGCCCCCGATACGTCTCATCTCACAGGCTCCCTCCGCCCAGGGCGCCCTCTCGTCACAGGCTGCCCGCGACCCCCGCCCCAGGCCCCTCCTTCTGTCAAGCCCGCGGCCGAGCCCGCCGCGGTTACCTTCTCCAAGGATGCCGGTCTCTGCACCGCCAGGGAGCGCGCCAGTGACAGCACAGTATTGAAATAGAAACCCCGCGAGGCGCTGGAGCCGGAGCCCGAGCCGGAGCCGGAGCCCGAGCCGCCGCCGGCGCCACCTCCGCCTCCCCGGGCCGCGGCCGCCGCCGCCATCATCGCGCGCGCCGCGGCGCTGCCGGCCCGCTCCCCTCGGCCAGTTCGCGAGCCCCGGACCTCACGGCGCAGGCGCTGCCGCATCCGGCTTCCCCGCCACGTGACCCATGTGTTGCCTACAGTGGGTGGGGCGTGGCCGCAGGGCGATTCCACCGCTGTAGTCGGGGGGTAGAGAGGACGTGCTGTAGGCCGCGTTGGCGCGCTCCGAACGTGGTCCCCCCCGCGCCGGCAGCCTCCGTTCGCGATGGTCTGCTCCGGAGGCGGGGTCGAGAGCGCGCGACTGGCGGAAGCAGCTCCCACAGCGGCTCAGGGGGTCGACGCGGGCCGCGCCTCCTTCTGTTTGGTCCCGGATTAGCAGAGACGCCGGGACGATGTCGGCGTACCCCAGGAGCTGCAACCCGTTTGACGACGACGACGCGGAAGACGAGGGTGCCAGGCCGGCCCCGTGGAGGGATGGCCGCGACCTCCCCGACGGGCCCGACGCGCCCGTGGATCGGCAGCAGTACCTGCGGCAGGAGGTGCTGCGCAGGGCCGAGGCCACGGCGGCCAGCACCACTAGATCTCTGTCCCTCATGTACGAGTCGGAAAAAGTCGGGGTCGCCTCCTCCGAGGTAAGCCTGGGGCCGGGCTTGATCGGCCAGGCTCCGACCACGTTTCCCTAATGATGTTGAGAATGCTTCAACGGCCTCGCGTGGGCTCTCCTCCTGCAGGGATGTGACGGTTTGTAATAACCTGTTAACTACGGAAAGAAACGTGGGGTGCTTGAAAGGGGGCGTTTTACCTCGAGACTCTTAGCTTAGTCTGTTTTTCTTCTTTTGTATTTTCCTTTTACGACTCCGTGCAAAGGTAAGCTGCAGGCTTTGGCCGCTGGGTAAAAATTCTCAGCAGCAGGGCCTGGGGTAGGGAAATGAAGGGTTTCTCTCTTTTACATAATTTCCTGTGCAGATGCTTTTGACCGTTGCTGCCACAGAATGACCTAGAAAGAGTAGGTGCGGTGTGTGTCCCTGCAGGTGTCAGGTCATGCCCGAAGCATGAACAAGTGGGCCTCATGTTCTTCCCACACGAGTGACCACTTCCTGGCCAAGTAGGGTGACTGGATTTCCCTCTGCCTGTGCAACGACTGTTGAAGCCAAAGCCCGAGTTGAGTTTAAGGCTTGACCTTTACTTCCCAAATCCCGGGCGAATAGACGATGTGTGGGTTCTGACACCTGTCGCTCCAGTTCGTCTTTATCGGAACCTCCCAAAGAAGACTTCCGAGAGCTGCACCTTCATTGAGGATTGTTTCTGATACACCTTGTTCTCTCCTCAGCCCACTAATGTAGCAGTTTTGTTAGGGCAGAGGAAGAAAAAAAAATGTTAAACATGTAACAGGTTACTGATTGGTCGACTAAAAAAATCTCCAGGGGCCAGCGCCATGGTTCACTTGGTTAATCCTCCACCTGCGGTGCCAGCATCCCATATGGGTGCCAGGTTCTAGTCCTGGTTGCTCCTCTTCCAGTCCAGCTCTCTGCTGTGGCCCGGGAGGGCAGTGGAGGATGGCCCAAGTGCTTGGGTCCCTGCACCCGCGTGGGAGACCAGGAGGAAGCACCTGGCTCCTGGCTTCGGCGTAGTTCCGGCCGTGGTGGCAATTTGGGGGGTGAACCAAAGGAAGGAGGACCTTTCTCTCTGTCTCTCTCTCTCATTGTCTAACTCTGTCAAAAGAAAAAAAAAAAAAAAGAAGAAGAAGAAGAAGAAGAAAATCTCCATCATTTTGTAGCTTTGAAATGTAATATTTTTAAAAAAATATTGATTGATTTATTTGAAAGTCAGCTACACAGAGAGAGAAGAAGAGACAGAGAGAGAGAGAGGTCTTCCATCTGCTGGTTCACTCCCCAATTGGCCACAACAGCCAGAGCTCTGCCGATCTGAAGCCAGGAGTCAGGAGCTTCTTCCAAGGTCTCCCATGCGGGTGCAGGGGCCCAAAGATTTGGGCCATCTTCTACTGCTTTCCCAGGCCATCACAGAGAGCTAGATTAGAAGTGGAGCAGCTGGGGCTCGAACCAGCACCCATATGAGATGCCAGCACCGCAGGCAATGGCAGCTTTACCCGCTATGCCACAGCACCGGCCTCTGAAATGTAATATTTGGAGCTAAAGCCTTCCCTGGGTCTCTTCCCAGTTCTTTTTCCTGTGGTTAAGTAAGTTTACGCTGACCTGTCCACTTAGAATCTTGGACTTCCATCATTTTCCCACTGCTGCATTCTTGGGGTTTTTCCTTTCCCCACTGCTAGGGCTGTCCCCACTGATCCACCTTCCTGTGTGAAGCCCCGCTGAGGGAGTTGTGCTTGTAATTCTTCACACCTCACAGCGGTGGGAGTCCTGTGTTCCAGTCTAAATGGAAACTCGGCCTAAGATCTTGGGACCTTCCTTGATTGATTCCAAAGAAGCTATCTAAGAACTCTTGGAAAAGACGTCTTTGGAAACTGCAAGAACAAAGGAAACGGGAAATCACAGTGATACAGAGAAGGGCGTCCTGGGGCAGAGGGTAAACTTGAATCTGGCTTTTACAGCTGAGGACTGTTAGACGAGAAGCGGGAGAATGAGGGGTGTTCCCAGGGAGGAGAGGTGAACACGTGCAGCTTTGGCCCAGGAATGTGGCTGGAGGCTCCTGTAGGGATGAGAGGGCCAGGATGCAGTAGAGGAAAGCATTCGGAGACAGCTTAGGGGCTTTGGTGGTCAGAGGAAAGATCTGGTCTCCTTACTCGGGAGAGGGAAAAATATAGTGGATGTAAATTGTTCGTCCAGACCGTGTCCATACCACATGCTACCCCCAAGGTCCTCTCTGTGCAGTGGGGACTGCCAGCGCACAGGCGGAGTGGCACCTCCAACATAGGCTAGGCCTGGCTGGTGGCTCTGAGAGGTACAGTATGACCGTGACGGAGCAGGTGACAGGCTCTCACCAGCATAATGACACGTTGAATTTTTCCAGGATTGAATCAGTTCTCAATTAGGAGACGCCCTGGGCATCAGGGAAAACCAGCACGCCCATCCTACATGCAGCAAACTCAACTTTGAATCACTCTGATCATCTTTCATTCCCTTCAGTGTTGAGGCAGGGGCAGCGGGAGTGAGCTCCTCCTGCCACTCAGTACACAGGGTGACTCCAAACAGACCTGAGCAGACCCTGCTAACTTCCCATCTCAGACAGGCGACTGCTGGATCCATAGCGCTGTGAAACATGCCAGGACAGGGTTTTTGGAGGACTTCATAAATAACGTTAAGTTGGGAAGACCACCTTCAGCCCCAGCTTGGTGGAAGTAGGAAGTGTACTTACTTTGATTACCCTTATTGAAGGCGAGCTGCTCTCCAACTGTGAAACCTCGCAAAGAAACAAATGGCCATGGCCACCAAAGGACAAAGAAGTAGAGCTGGCCTGCTAAACTAGAGAGAGCTTTGTAGGCCGTTCATCTCTTGCTGTATTTTGTGCATGTGATTTCTGCATTTCTCTTCCTGAGGCTTAGTTTCTGGGAAGATGTTAAACAATCACATGGATCAAAATTGAAAACCTGGCCAGCGCCACAGCTCACTTGTCTGATCCTCCACCTGCAGCGCTGGCACCCCAGGTTCTAGTCCCAGTTGGGGCGCCAGCTACTAGTCCCGGTTGCTCCTCTTCCAGTCCAGCTCTCTGCTGTGGCCCTGGAGGGCAGTGGAGGATGGCCCAAGTGCTTGGGTCCCTGCACCCCATAGGAGACCAGGAGAAGCACCTGGCTCCTGGCTTAGGATCGGCGCAGCACCGGCCGTGGCGGCCATTTTGGGGGTGAACCAATGGAAGGAAGACCTTTCTCTGTCTCTCCCTCACTGTCTATAACTCTCTCTCTCTCTCTGTCTCTCTCTCACTGTCTAACTCTGCCTGTCAAAAAAAAAAAAAAAAATTGAAAACCTACGAATGGGTGTGAGATCTCCCACACCCTGGCTTAGCATGTCTCTGCCCCCAAGGAACCACCTACCATCACCTCCTTCTGTGTCCTTGGGGTGATAGCTTGTGTATAAAGAGTCTTTTTGTTTTGTGTGTATGTGTGTATACCTGTGGCTGTTGTTTTCGAAAGATTTATGTATTGGAAAGGCAGAGTTACAGAGAGATCCTCCAGCTGCTGGTTCCCTCTCCTAACAGTGGGCATTTGGGTCGTGTGCACCTTTTAGTGAGCCTAGTTAGTTGTGGTTTTGTAAATGCTTCATTACCCTGGCCGAGGAAACCGGCCTGCAAACAGAACACTCTGCTTTCTCTCTTTAACAGCTGCATACGTTTCAGGGAGGTTTTGCTGGGCCCCCATTCAATGGAGTCCAGCAACAAATATCACATCAGGGCCTGAATGACCGGTGCAGTAACATCAGTGTTGGGCCTGAGGTTTGGTAGACTCAAACGTGGTGCACTCAGCCCTCCCGGCTCATGCTTCTTCCACACCATCTTCTGCAGGGGTAGAGGGGGGGGTGGAGGGCACTCTCCTTCTTTGTGTCTTGCTAGCACTTGACAGTCAGTGGAGCCATACCTGGCATTCAGGTGAGAGAGGTGGGACCAAGAACAAGAAATCCTCACCCAGGAGGAGGGGCCGTCCAGGTGGTCTATGCAGGATATCCCCATAACTTGGGGCAGATATGTCACCTGGGAGCGGTACCCTCATCCTTTGGGAGGCAGGTGTTGGGAGCAGCCACTCCAGAGGAGGGACTGTACTGATCAGAGCTCCCGCCCACTGCAGGCAGCCCGTGATGATTCTGAGCAGAGCCTGGTATGGGGGAAAGATGAGTAGATTCCTGAGTGTCATCTATGGAAGAGCAACAGTCTGTTACCCACGGGTTACTCAGCTTTCTGCCCTGCACATCTCAGCACAATGTCCTGTTTGTGTTAGGGGTTTGTCAGCCAGGCATGGTTGACTTGAGTCTGTAACCTCTCCAGAGGTCAAGTTGATGGTGTATGGAGCCCAGGGCCCCGTCATGCATCACAGTGTTAGCATAAACTCTCCAGCCTGACCCTAAGAGCTCAAGGAAACAGATACTCTTATCAGA